TCCCAGGCCGAATGATGTATATTAAAATACCCTGCAAGGATATTAGGGCTTTCGGTTATTGTAAAGAGAACTCTTAGGCCTTCTCCTGCATCAGAGGAGCCTGCTGGGGCGTTGTATATATTCCAACAATCAACCATACGCCTCCCTCGAAGGTGAATGCAGACACAAATTAGATCGCGCGAATAAGCTTTTGGCTGAAAGGGAGAGAGACTGCGACCTTTGCGAACATACGTCATAACTCGAGGCCAGGCTGTCCATTCGGAGATAGGAGAAAAAGTTTGGAATCGTTGGTGGGTTTTTATGATTTTACGGGAGAAGTCCGAGAAGATCCAAGGCTCTTGGATAAGGATCATATCGGCTCCTGATTGGGAAGCGAGAGCAAGTGCAGAGTCGTGTGCTGGGCCAGATTTACCGACATTGACCTGAAATATGCAGAGGCTAGAGGCTGTCTGCTTTTTAAATCCTCGGCCGCGGACCATTAAAGTTGTATTTCGGTGGTGGGAGTTGAAAGTTGCGCTGGAACTTCCTGTATTGAGGTGGTTTTGCTCCCGCAACACTCCATTTCAATGTCGGGAGTTGTTACAGCGCTTTGATTTTCAGGCGCTTGAGGTATTAGAGAGGCATTTTTGGCCTGCCAAGCTTTGTGGCCTTGTTGCCGTATTTGTCGTAATCTTTCTTTGTTGGGCCTTATAAAGAGTCTATTCTCCCGACGGGGTCGTGCTGGGCAGCTATCAGTAGTTGTCGGATGTGGGCCACGACAATTTAGACATTTATAAGGGGTACTACACACCCCGTCGTGTGGTTCGGCAGCGCATAGTCCGCAGCGAGGTCTTCGGGTGCATGTGTTAACATTATGAAATCCGTGACATTTAGAGCTGGAGGGAATCTGTGGTCGGTCCTCGACAGGTCTAAGTCGTGCGGCTCTTACAAATAGACGTACATTTTTGGGAAGACTCTTAACGCATGAGGCTTTAAGTACTAGGCGAAGCGTACCATCACTGCTTGGTGATTGGTTGGACCAGCGAGTCCAGGACATTGCGTATATAGAATTATTGCTTATTTTCTCGGCTTCAAGCTCTTGTCTAATTTCTTCGTATGTAAGGGCCTCGCGGTTTCCCCAAGAATTGTATCCGTATTTAGGTATTGGGCCTGCTGTAATCTAACGCTTTTCATCCTCGGACTTCATGGTGAGTAGTAGTTGTATAGCACGTGATGCCATGCGAGGGAGAAGGAAGAGGATGGCGAAAGCCGCGAGCCTGATCTAAGCGATCTAGCCCACTTGTAGATGGAGAAATCCTTTTTTGTATATAGACAATACAACCCTAACTAGTACAACAACAATAGTAAGGAACTCATACATCCGCACTTCAGTTATCTCATACATTGTGACCCATAAACCTCACTCTCATATCTATCACTCCATAACAAAGCTTCAACAGGGCCTAGTAGGTAGTTTATTCTTTTTTCCTGCCTCTCCATTGGTGCTTCGCCGATGATTGGTTTCAGATCCTTCGCTGCTTCGAGTAGTTCCTGAGCTTGAGAGGGAGTTGGAGCCACTAGGGCTAGCCCCGTGGGTACCATCCGGATATCTTTGATAAGTTCCGGGCGGCTTAGAAGTCGGCGTAGCTTTTTTCTAACAAGGAGTGGATCTTCGCAACGGAGGTGGTGGTTCTACAGGTAGTCGGATGATGACTCTTGCGTCAGGTTTTTGCGAGCTAGGCTTCGGAGCTAGCGTTTTGTTGGTAGGGCTTGGGGCGTTGTTGCCTCTATGGGCTACTACGGCGTATGAGGAAGCCGCTATAGAGGCTACTCTTTCCACTTGAGCACTTTGATCTGGCCTACTTGTGTTGCTGGCAGTATTGATGGAGGTATTTTTTTGGCAACTAGGCTCATCAAAGACTGGAAAGCCAGCGATGACGCGCGCAGCGCTCCGAGTAGTGATTGCTCGCAGATCTGCGGCGATGGATGGAGGGAGGTTCCTTAGGTATTTAGCTCCTGCGTTCTGCCAGGCTGTTAGCGATGCAGCATAATCGTTGATAGACTTTGATGAGAGATGGGAAGTAACACGCCGATTAATTGTGGCTGGTGGGCTTATTGCATCATCATTCAGAGGAAGAGCTTCAGATGTAGGAGCTGCATGTATAGAATGTTCAAGAAATTGTAGAGCCTTTCTAGGGGTTGATACTGGATTGGTTTGTGACTCCTGTACATTGGGTATCAGGTCACTAGAAGGATACGAGCTTGTGTCATCTAGCATTGTCTCGTCTTCGGGGGCTGATGATAGTTCTGATTCGGAATCTATCTTGATGTTCTCTATCTGATGATTCTAATTCAAATGACCCATTTTCCTCGAGCCTCTGTTAGTAAGAGCGTCGAGGACGGCTGTCTTATTAAGGTTGGAATCGCGATTTTTCACGATTTTGGATGTGCCAGAAACAGATGGCTTCAGGGGCAGGGATACCCCATGAGCTTTCTTCCGCCTCCCTGGAGGCATTCTAAATTGTGTGGCTTTATAATAAACTCGTGACTGATGTTTTTTTTTCTCGATGATGTGATGAATGTGCGATGGTTTGTTGAACGGCCACTGGTGTGACGGTGGCAGTTTATGTCTACTCTTCTGTGTGATTGTTCCTTTGGGGAGTATGAGGTATAAGTCATGTGCTCCTGTTGAAATTAAACTTAGAATATGCAGAACTCTTCGGGTGATGACGGAGAAATAACGAAGTATATACTTCAAAGGGTATCTGTAGATGTGAATTATGTTTATAGTAAAGGCTTGATCGAAACTCTTGATCTTTACTAAAGGATATGAGACTGCCTATATACATTGATGTCTAGCAATGACATGGGCTAGAGTGTAATGCCTCATTACGGGATGCAACGGAACAAACTACAGATCTGATACCAGCTACGCGTATTCTCGTCGCTGTCTCGAATATCAGACGTAACAAAAGATGATGGTGTAACTAGTAGCGGATAGGCGATACCCAAAAATGTTGATGGACACATACTGAAACCACAAGCACGGGGAGTGTCTAGGTTGGTTTCGCAACAGCTCCCAGCATTTCGATGAAACTGTCTGCGATCTTGTGGTGCCTGAGTATTGCCCCCCCACTGCGGATGGTGCACCTTTAAGTCTCCGACTGGAATTTGTTGGCCTTCTTGGAATAGGATTTGTGGTAGCCACTTGAGTGTCCCTTTTTCTAGGCTGCTGTGGTGTGGTGAGGGTGGATTGCATACGTTATGTATCCAAATTTTACCTAGGCCAGTGTCGATGTTGACCAAGGTGATGTCTCCTTGCGATTCATCTAGCACTCTTTCTTTTCTCCATTTGTTGATGGTCAGACTTTTACTAATGTATATACAAGTTCTGCTTTTGTGGGCACTAGGAAAGACCAAGTGGTAGGCAAGGTGGGTGACGGTCGTATTTTCTGTCGGATGATGCCATGGTTCTTGTAAGGCCATAACGTGGTGCTTCAGTGGATTTAAGGCTCGTAGGAAATGGATATGTACTTTGATTTGTATTCATTATCCTGATTTGGCGCCCTGTGGGCCCATGCAGGTGGCTATAACCCTATCTATATATTTACAAAGGAGGAAACCTCTCGGTGAAAACCCCCCAAGCTTTCTGATTTAATTCTTAGAGTTTGAAATTTACCCTTCAGGAAATACAGTTACACTGTAACGCCGTCGATGTCTACCAATCACGTCCCTTCCATGGACCCAACCTTGTACATGTTCCGTCTCGTTCCCTGAGCAGTATTTCGGCTGCATTTATCAAGCGGAATTGTTCTATCCAACCATGATGAAGAATTCATCGTGTGATTCTTTTCATATCGCTGGGATTGATGGTCATTGCTTCAAAGGATCGATTTTGGGCTTCTCTCCAGATTTCTCCTCTACCGATTGACCACTTAGGGCAGGACATGATCATGTGTTTGGGATTTTGGGATTAGTAGCCACATGGACAACTTGGGTGATAAACTCCTGGTACTTTACTTCTGTGTAAATAAGAATTGAGCTCGATATGCTCGCTTCGAATTTGGATGGATCTGTACTTTATTTTTACTCCTGTTGATGTTGTACGTACGATTGTGAGGATTGGCGTGTCCTTCATCGTTCCATTTCGATTTCAGGTTCATCCGCTGGTGTCTCCCGTGTCACAGTCCGGGATGCTGTTGCAGCTTGTTTTATTATTGAAGGTCCTTTAGAGCGGGGAGCCGAAGCTCGAACCTGCAGTGCCTACTAAACTATCTAGAGGGATAGACGCCATGCTTACTTCCATACTGTTATTATCGCTGCTACTGCTAGATTCTATATATATCCAAGTTACGATGGTGTATGGCACAACTCTGTTGGAGATTCAGACTCTATGTGTCTGAAGTTTCCCCATGATTGGAACAACTCAGATTCTCACACATGACTCACGGCCTGACTCACGACCTAGATGATTGGTATTTCCCTTACTGAGCATGTTTGATGCTTGAGACTCGACTAGTGCATGGTACGGTCAGATACACGTGTAGGCTTTCATCCACCGACCCTGACTCCATACTCATGTTGTATACTGTCGTGCGTTTCATTGTCATTGTTAGAGTATGGAACGAGTGATGGATGGTATCTAGTTTGGATTTGGTCTATCAAGTATACATGTATATAAGCTGTCTAGGAATCACCATGGCAGATAATCTAATTAATTCAATTCATTCAACCCATCTTTTATTTCTCCACAGTATATCACATATTCTCCCGATTCATATCATTATTATTCTATTCATAAAATCGCGCCCATATTCTTTGAGCCGGCTTACTCATCGAACCAATACCGATTTTCCAACAAACTCACACACCATTTGTAGCACACCAGTCTCGTGCCATAAGGCGCTGGGCTGGTGCCTGGGACCTTAACATAAAAATTAAAAATAAGATTTTTTAGCACACTTCGTAGATTTACCATCTACTACATTTTCCGGCCTAGGCTTCCCGGAACCTAGCTATTTCTACGTCTTGCTTTGCATATATTTTTGGCAGGCGGCTCCGAATCTAGCCAAGCTGTTATCATTGTTGGCCTCCGTAGGTGGGATGCCCGGAACAGGTTGTAGTTTAGAACTTAGACAGGGCAAACTACTTTTTCGCGCTGAGTCCTCCTTCCCAGGTGCCTGACAAGAATTTTGCTGGATCGCTGAAAGATGGAAGAATCTGAGGGGCTCTAAGAGCTTGGATTCTACATTCCAGAAAGTGCGTGGCGGCCTTAGGTTAACCATAACTGCAGGGTACAAGACTGAACACCTGTGCGCGGTGTCCTCTACGAACCTGGGAGTGAAATATTCTCCCAGAGCCAAGTTCGGACAAATTTCGCAATACCGAACAAGTTGGCCCACGAGGCAATGATTCAAATAACTCCACCACGTCAAATTTTCGCCCCCAACGAGTCCGAATCCTATCCAAGCCCCACCAAGTCTACAAGTACGACCTAGTATATCTTCGTTTCAACAATCACACCTCTTGTCGATTATTCTCTGGCCTCGGCTTGTCGCTAAACACACACATACGCCGATATTTACACCCCACGAATGAAACAAAGTGTGGCGCACAAATCTGGAAGACAGTTTTCTGGGATGGGCGTGAAAGGATTCAGGACAAGTTCACAAGATGATGCAGAGTATGGAAACATTCTCGACGGGAGTCGAATTTCGAAATTTGGCAAGGAGTTTTTACAAATTGAGCTTTGTGGATCAACAAATAACTGTGGTTACATCAGGTCACAGTTATTCGATATAACAATAAAATGCCGGCAGCAACATCGGCATATTGATTATGGTTAATTTTTTATATTTACTATGAGAAAGTAATGCGTGCTCGAAGAAGACATCGTTATAACGAGTTCGCACACTACATTATTTCGCTCGAAAAATGGAAAATAGGGAGCGACCCAAAATTGAATCTGCGAATTTTTCTTTCCACCTCAAGCATTTGCAACTTCACTGCCGGATATTTGTACCATGAAATAGAACGGTCGGAGTCCCAAATATCGAAGTTATCATTAACTTTTTTGACAATTGTGACGAGTTCTTCGGAATTTTTGAAATTTTTAAGCAAACCATTCAGAAGCCTGCTTGAATTAGCTGCTTCCCTACCTATTACCGTCATCACGATGATGTCCGAAATACGCCATCTTACACGAAATATATGTAAATGACCTTGAAACCATGCCATCAAATCTGTGAAACGGAAATCATCTTCATTCCGCACTTCACCATAGATGTGGTCATGCGACAAAATCTGCTGTATGTTTACGGGTGAATCTGCATATATCCATATTGGTGCTATAGAGAAGGAATTTATAAAATCAGTATAGTCTCCCACTATTCTCAATTCCTGCCGGAAGTTTAAGTTGAATACTTCTCCCACAGTACAAGGATTATTATGTGTGAGGTATTGAAGTGATATGGCCGATGTCTCGTTCTGACCAAAAGGAATTGCTTGAATGCGAGCTCGACATAGCGCAAGTTCTTCTTCATTGACATTGAAGTTACGATGAGACGAATATGTAATGTCTTCTAGATCAGCCTTGATAGCTGCTACTATATCTATTGCTGGGATATTGAAGGAGCAGTACGCCCGTACATACGTTCCTGGATTATTGATAGAGTATTGAGTCATAATTATATCAGGTGCTGAAGTAACCTCCGGAAACTTGCCTGTAATTTGAGGTTTGTAGACGCCGTAATGGGAATAATTTTGGTCGACCCCCACAACTACTAAACGCTCCATTTGCGACATTGAATGGTTCGGAATTAAGAGAAATGCGTACGCGCAGCGCATGGTGATATGATATCTCTGACTACTGTTGTTTCTACCAGTAGATTTAAAAAGTGGTCTTGATAGAATGAAATTCAAAGAAGTACTGCAATTCGTCTCAATTTAGTGCTTTATAACTGACCACATTAAGGAGAGCGCCGAGAGGCGTACCCTTGGAATTTTGGGTAACTAAGAAAAAGAGTTGTTAAATGTAATAAACATAGGCTATTCGCAGCTATCAGACTTCCACTTCTATTGAGACTATCGTGGGTATGATTCGAGATCCTCACTTGAATGAAGATTTAGAGCGTGACTGTTGAAACCGATGAGAATTGATGCAAAAGGATCGAAAAGCGGACCGAAACTTTCGGATTTTCGGAGATTGGCAATGCCGCTCAATAAATTAGAACGCATATTTGATGATCAGTGTCGACCGGAAATGAGTTGTATTTTAGAGTCTTCTTCGATTACAAGCCATGTTTTCGCATGACTCAGGTTGCGTATTTCTTCATGTGCTTGACTCATAGCTCGCATCTAACGAAGATGTTGAGATTTGATCCATGCAAGCCTTTCATCTCTCCCTATTTTTCTTCTCAAAGAAATTGGATGGAAACTGTTTATGGTTCAACAGAAGCTGGCTGAGATTTCTGGAAATGACTATTTGTGAGGTTCTCTTGACATCGACATGGTTCCTATTAAAAGGCTATGCTGAGCTGGAATGAAGTACCGTAATGATGAAGGTATGGAAGGAGGTAGATATGGCTTCAAGAAAAGTGAAGTTCGTGAGTTATTCTCTTAGGACTTGGATAAATGGACGAGCTTGAGGATGCTCCCGAGTATTCTCAAGTGTGTAAATAACGTTTAGATCGTTGAAATATCCCATTGTGTGGATCGCTTGTGTTATCCAAGTGGCAGGAAGTTCCAACGTATACATGAACAAGAGGGTCTCTGCATACTAGTGGATGTTCCAACGTATCTCCCCCTCTAACTGAGTAAGGAGGGATTTCACAGATTGTTGCGCCAATAGATACCACTAGGAATCTATCGGGAGATAAACTGTCGTACCTTTTATCATAGCTAGATAGCTGAATACAATATGATATAAAAAAAAACTGTCGTACCAGTAAGTGTTTATCTACGTCAATCATATCTCATAGCGCATGTGCACAATATTTTAATGTAGACAGTTGATCGTAATGCAGTCATGTTATCCCCTAACTAAAACACATCCCAAGTCAAAGGATTTAGACTCTCCGTGCAGGAGTTTGGGAGGCTAGAAATAGCAACTATGGTTTACTTATTTATATCCAGATGACAACGAGTCTGCCTGACTTTCATTCACCTCAAACCTAGAAACTGTGATAGCATATGGTTCAGGAAAGGCTCTGACTAAAGTCAAAACAATAATATGATTGTAATCTATATAGATAGAAGGACAGGTCGGCTCACTAAACTTTTTTTTTGAACCAGATTTTAATTGCGTATGCAGCTATCTAGCTATAACACAGTATGAACGGAGTGTTTAATAAATGACTCAATTATTAAGAAGAGCGTTCATGCCTCGGATTTCATTTGCAAGTACCACTGCGAATTTATGGTGGATTTTTCCCCACCCCAAGTCAACCATCATCTGTGAATACCCACCCAGAGTAACGTCTCAAAAATCCTGAGTTATCCAGACATGCCTCCATCATCCATCAACTTTTCTCCGCGCGAAATAGAGTCTGAGACGTCCCCTTCCCAAGTGGAGTAGGTGCCTAGACTAATCAGACTATACCGGAGAACACCGCAAGGAGGCGGACCACAACACCTTCAATCGTTTGCTTGTTTCCATAGTTTCAGCTACACTCTCGCGTTCGAAGTCTTGGCGCGCACACAGCCCATGTCGTAAAACTCCTTGCTAAAATTCAGAATTTTAAGCCCGTCGAGATTGTATCCATCAACTGTGTCGTTTTGTCAACTTGTCCTGATTCCCCTCACTTCCATCCCAAAGAACTGTATTCTAGATTTATGCGCCACGCTTAGCTTCCTCAGTCAGGCGTAGATATCAGCGTGGGCGTGTATTAGTGACCAGCTGATGCAAGAAAATAATCGACAAGAGGTGTGATTGTTGAAACGAGGATGTACTAGGTCGTACTCTTAAACTTGATAAGACTTAGATGGGAGGCGATCACTTTGGTAGTGAAAATTAGACACGGTGAATTTTTAATGATTGCCTCGTGGGCTAGCTTCTTCAGAAGTGCGAAATTTGACTTAACTTGGCACTGGGAGAAGACTTCACTCCCAGGTTCGTAGAGGACACTACGTTCAGTCTTGCCATCCCCAGACGCTCTTTGAAGGGCTCAGAGGCAGGCCTTATCCCGTGTGCCTTCTCGGCGTTAAGTGTGCATAAATTGATCATGAGGTTATCAGGATACATGTCTGCTACTGGCTAACGTCTTAGTGTGGTCTGAGTGACGTAAAAAATTCCAACAGAAAGGAACATCCTCGCCATTGAGCCGGGTCGGTTCAGAGAGGCAGGACATTTGGTTTTGTTTACTAAAGGCTTCTGTCCTGACCAGAGCGGCTGTCAGGAACTGAGGATAGAGGTTACTGGGATACAATGGTTGCCATGGGTTACGAATTGAGTAATCGAGTAGTAGAAAGTGGTCTCTATGAGACCTAGGTTGCTCTGGTTACTATGATGTATATACGGATTAGACAGAGCCACTGTAGAGAACCACGACTTGATTTCCGTCTTCCACTGGCCTTGTCTCCGATCCCAGATCCCCTCGTCCCTCGTCATTAGTTCTAGTTACAATTACAGATTTATACCTTTGACTCTTGCCAACCTCCTCAGATATTTCCCAAGTCACTCAGTAACACTCCCGACACTACCTTTGGAACCCTCGAGTTTGACAGCGGCTTACCGTCTACATAGTTTTGTAAATAGATACCGCACAGGACTCTGAATGACAAATTTTCAATTCGTTCAATTCTGTATCATCAAAATATCGCAAAGACTTCATTTTCAAACAAGTGATGAGCAGCAATCACGAGAAGGGGAAGTGGCAAGAAGGTAGTGTGTGTCCAGGCCACGGGATATTGTGAGGAGAAGATTATTGGAAACTTATTATGTAATCATATATTAGCGTGCTTTTCATTCATTGTTCTAGTTAAACGTCCTATGCGGTATCTATATACCGAACCATGAAGACGGTAAGCCATGTTAGGAAGAATAAAAGCTTTCAACAAAACAAAACCTGATTTCCTGCCACTCTGAACCGACCCGGCTTAATGTTGAGGACGTTCCTTTCAACCACAAATTTATAAACTTTCCCCCGAATTCGTTAACTCCCCCTTCGATTAGACTAACGTTATGAGAAATTAAAAGGAGAAGGCACCTCCTCACTCGGCGTTGGTCTTCAAAGTGTTCGAAGAGTTGGCCCCGATGGTGGTGCCGCTGGGGCTTCGACTACCTTACGCGGTCGTCCTGGCCCTCTTTTGAGTCCTTTAGCCTTTTTACTGGTGACCAAAGTGAATCCTTGGTCGTCGGTCGTTCCGACTGTTCGTGTTGGCGCCATGGTAGGTTTTTAATTCCATGTTTCTGCCGTCCTCTTTTTTTTTTTTTTTTTTTTTTTTGCATCAGATTTTAATTGCGTATGCAGCTATCTTGCAATGATACAATGTCAAAGAAAAGTACAGAAAAGATGACTCAATTTACAAAAGGAGCACTCATGCCTCGGATTTCATTTGCAAGTACCACTGCGAAGTTATGGTGGCTTTTTCTTCACCCCAAGTCAACCCTCATCCGTGAATACCCACCCAGGGAAACGTCTCAGAAACCCTAAGTTATCCAGACATGCCTCCATCATCTTTCAACTTTTCTCCGCGCGATAAGTGATGTGAGATGTCTCCTTCTCAAGTGGAGTAGGTGCCCAGGCTACTCAAACTATACCGGAGAACACCGCAAGGAGGCGGACCACAGCACCTTCCATCGTTGGCTTGTGTTTATAGTGTCAGCTGCACTCTCGCTAGCGAAGTCTTGGCGCGCACAAAGCTCAATTCGTAAAACTCTTGCCATAATTCGAAATTTAACGCCCGTCGAAAACGTATCCCTCTTCTGCATCATCTTGAAAACTTGTCCTGATTCTTCTCACGTCCATCCCAAAGAACTATCTCCCAGATTTGTGCTCCACGCTTTGCTTCCTTCGTCGGGTATAAATATCGGCGTGGGCGTGTATTTGGTGACCAGCTGAGGCCAGAGAAAGTCAACGACAGGTGTGGTCATTGAAACGAGGATGTACTATGTCGTACTTGTAGACTTGATGAAGTTTTGTTGAGAATCGGACTCTTTGGGAGTGAAAGATTGACATGGTGGAGTAATTTGAATTTTTGCCTCGTGGGCCAACTTCTTTGATATTGCGAAATTTGACTGAACTTGGCTCTGGGAGAATATTTCACTCCCAGGTTCGTGGAGGTCACCGTGTACAGGTGTTCAGTCTTGCCCTCCTTCTGCCGTCCTCGAAAACAGCTCCATCCGAGCCTTCTCCACACTACCCTTGTAAACCTGGTAGGTCCGACACGCTGCTTTCTGCCATGAGAGATGTTCCTTGCCACAGTTCGCGGAAGAAACCCTTTTCCTCGGAAAGTCCCTAGTTTGGTGAGTGCCTGCGCACTCACCGCACCTTGCTGCCTTTCCACACGACGCCTGGGTGTGTCCCCACTGGCTGCAGTTGTAACACTGCTTTGGCTGAGCCCGTGGCGACCACACCTGCGCGGTGAAGAGCATGGCGTTAATAACAAGGCCCTGTCGAACTACCTCCGTTTGTATTGCCTCTGATGGGAAGATGACCACAATTGATCTGCGATTGCGACCGTTTTTCTTCGATCGCTGGTGTTCCTTTCAGTCATGGAGCCATCGTATTCTGTCAATTACCAGGCCTGGAATACGTGCCTTCGTCGGCGTCTCAATCTCCCTGATGATGGCGTAGTTGTTGGCATCTCTGCCACCCTCAATTCTTGTCCGCAGTGGGACTCCGGAAATCTCAACAGGAAAGTCTTGCTTCAAAATTTTAAAATCCGTTGGTTGTCGCATGTTTTGTTAGCGTGCTTGTAACATTAGGAGTTTCCTGTTAGGATTATGAACGAACAACTTAAATCTGACTTAATGAACTCCACGGGCAGGAGGACGAAGGCTGAACACCTGTCAGTGATATTCTCTACGAACCTTGGAGTGAAGTATTCTCCAAGAGCTGAGATTCAGTCACGATAAGGGGTGAATTTGGGAGTTTTCGTCGAGTTGGCGATCGGGAGGAGTGGTGTTAGCTCATTTTTGGTCGAAAATCCGACTTACAGAGATTTCACGACTGCACAACTCAACGAAATCAGCCATCTACACCCCAGATACGAACCGCAGACAGGCTATAATCTGTCTGATGTTCGTATTACAACATCTGACACCTTCAACATCTTATATTTTATTTCTCTGGAAAAATATTCCCAGCCAAACTCATCTCGCGGCCCTCTCAAGAATCATTTCACCACCTACCTAAGCAATCCCACACCTCCAAAAGCCAAATCGATAACAAAGAAGCAAGAGGATGTCCGACCCTACGCAACTGCCAGTCGCTGTGAAGGTACGGTCGAAATACCGGCCTTAGATGCGTCCTCACCTCGGCCAAGGGCACCAACAACCCGATCAGCGACGAATTTCCAGCGACGAAACACGTACGACATTTCGCCGGCACACCAACCCAAGCGTTCGACAAAGGCTGGGGCACCGGTGCCTTGGTCTTGAGCTCTCAGTCGCGTTTTCGACCTCCACGGTTAGGGGTACGGCAGTGACGGGGCAAGGCCGGAGGAGTGGAAATTCTACAAAGTTTCTGGGATGACGAAATCGGCCGAAGGACAGAGGGATTCTGCATGAAGGAACAAAAGGGAATACAAACTGAGGAGGCCTTGGTGGGTGACTGGATGAGGCCTCCAGTGAAGAAAACGAGCTCTGGAGGAGATGGTGAGGTGAGCTAAAGCTGGAATGAATCAAAGGGAAAAGTTACAGATGGCGAAGGTGTCAAGGGCTCGGGCGCGTGGTGGCCAAGGCTGAGGATGAATTTGCGCTTCGGCGTGCCAAAAGGGGGTTCTCTGGACGATTGGGCTTGACATGATTCAACACATGGGTGAAGTCTGAGGTGGTCCGGTCATTTAGGTGGGACGAGGCACTTGTACTGCACGCGAGTTAACCTGATCCGGCCCGATTCCACTCGTGCTCAAGTTCCAGTAGGAGTGCGACGGGAGTTACTTCATCTAGCATGTTAATGAAAAAAAACGCACAATTCGAGAAATTCGAAAATTCGAAAATTTATTTTTTCTTTCTTTCCTCCCTTCTCGACCTCGTCGCATCCATCTCTGAATTGTGATCGAGCCTAGGCATTTTCAACATGCCTCCAGGTCGCAAAAAGCGTCCCAACTCCAAATTGGACAATACGAGAGTCCACCCGAGGGCTCTCGAACAAGTAACTGGCCTTGTCCAGTCTCTGAAATGTGCGGTGATGAGCAAGGTCTCTACTAAAGAGAAGGAAAAAGCCCTCCCCGCCGTCACTGAGCCCGATACTGACATGATCGGGTCAGTCGAAATTGTTGAGGAAATTCCTCAACGAGCCTCCGTCCCCCACGGGATTGGAGAATCGTCCAAACCTCCCCCGACCACCTCAATACCGTCGGAAAACGCTGCACCCATAGCAGCGTCAACATCAACGTCGCAGCCAAAAGCAGCCACGAGAGCAGAGTGTCCCCTAGAGCTTCGACCAATAGTCGAAGCCGAACAACGACGCGCCGCCAAAACAGCGGCAAATCTGGCCCCCTGCTCCGCCGCCATCTCTGGCGTCGAAGTTACTCTCCTCACTTCGACCAACGGGTCAAACAGACAATTCGTAGACTCCATGAGAGTCTACCTACGCGCCGCTATCGCGCAATTTATGGCTACGGGCCCGGCCTCCACGCCACCCGTTCTCCCTCCTCGCCCGGCCAACCCAACCCCAAGGGCTCCAGACGCCAGGAGCACAACGATTCCCGCCTTCCCAGCGCTGCCTGTAAAAAGCACCTGTGCCACGGTGGCCAGAAACGGATTGCGACAGAAAGCAGTCCCAATTGTACAGGCTGTGCCGCAACCTAGGGCAAAGGCCCCAAAGAAAGATGACCTGAAGGCGAAAGTCGACAAACGACCGTTCCTTCGCCTAGAAAAGGAGCACCCGTGGCGCCAGCTTTCGCCTGCTGGCCTACGGCAACAACTACAGAGTGAGCTAGATTGCTTCTTAAGTGACGCCTGCTCTATACATCGTGTCAGATCCGGCTTTGCGATTCTGACAGGGAATGAAAAGAAAAGGAAAGAGCTCCTAGATGCCGCACCAAAGTTTTCGGACTTCGACGCCAAGCTCAAGGAAGCCTCAAACCTTGTCGCCTTTCGGGTAGCGAATGTTCCGGCCACCGTAAAAACAATCGACTGTATTTATACGATCGATGCGGATTGGATCTCATTGGAGATCTACCGAAAAACACATTAGCTTCCAATTTAAGTACGAAATCACGGGACATGCCGTCATGGGGCGCCGTATAGAAATTGGAAAGCCCTTTTCACCTGGGACAACGCCCCTCGCCCGGGCTTCCGCCTCTTCGACGAGTCTGGTAAGGCTCCCATTCACAAGCCTCGTCGCCAAATTGAACAGTGTAAACGCTGTCTGGGCTTCCACGCCACTGGTGGTTGCTCCCGCGCCCCAGCGTGCTGGAACTGCGGATCAAATATGCACTCGGAAGCCGAGTGCAAGGCCCTCACTAAGTGTCGTAACTGTGGAGGACCCCACCGATCGGATTCTCGGGACTGCCAAGTCAGACCCAGAAAGTCCGGACCGATGACCATAGAGCAGCTCGTGTGGATCCGCCACATCGAACAAGGGGAGTTTGTGAAGGTGGCACGAGCCCGAGCTGCAGAAAAAAAGGCCGAAGAGGCGATCATCGCCGCTGCAAAGGATGTCTCGATGGCCGAGGTAATAGGTTTCTGAGCACTGGAAGCTGAAGAAGAAGTTTGAGGACACAGCAACCTCGACAATGTCCCTTTTGGGGCATCTACTAGCTATTAGCAGGATACCGGCTGGATCAAAAGTGCCTGCTAACTCATCTCTTGCTCTCAGCAGAGATTGAATAAATTTTGTCATTTGGAAGGTGTGACGGACGAGGGAATGTGTGAGGAGCGCATTTACTGGGTCCAATATGGAGGAATCTTCTGGTATTCGGAGTTGTTTTGATTTTTGTGATTTTTCGTTCTTGTTCAATCAGCTGCACTTTTGGTAGCGATTCACGAGGTTGGAACGAGTTTAGGCTGTAGGAAAGATTACAGGGAAACTTTCTGGATCCACCGGTCCTTGACCCAATGTGGAAAATATAGCTTTAGCTTAGGACCGAAATTTAAAAAAAATAAAACATCTTAATGGCTAAAGTGAATATTTACATAGAGATTAAGTGAGACTTTCACCGTGCGTAGAACATTGCACGAGATAGATCTGTCCCCAGTCGACTTCGAAACCAAATCAAAATCTAGCGAATTCCGACAGAGCATTGTCAAACTAAAATTTGTCAACTAACCTTTAACAACACATGATTGAACTGTTCCAATTCAATCTGTACAAAGTCTACGTAGAGTTAAGTAGATCATCCAAATTTAATGGTATGATTTTCTATCAGATCATCAAATTAATCATTCAGGGCAGACAATAGCATTTTTCACGAGCCAATAAAAAATATTTTTATGACATAAGATAATCCCAGGATCAGCTTTCCAAATATAAAGCTATACATCAGCTAATAATTCTATTCACTACTTCGCCTTATACTTTTGATTGAACTCTTCGACTGCGACACCAACCTTTGAATAAAGAAAGTTTCGACTACTTTCCTCAGTGACTGGCACAAATGGACCATTCAACTCTCCTCTCAAAATCAAACTTAGCCCTGTACGCTCCTTACTAATTGTCTGGATATCTTTAAGAGGAATATCCCATTCGCTGGTCAGTTTTTTGCTCTTGATAAGCATAATTCGGCTATACGTCAACATTACGACTACATCCTCTCGAGGTAGTTCCAGGTGTGCAATGTACTGTTCATTAAAGTATTTGCCACTATCTAGCTGCTTGAGCCAAAACTGACCTAATGCTTCACGTTGAGAGTAAGGACGGACAATGCCGTCGCTGCCAATGAAGCGAGTGAGACGAACTCTTTCAAGACCTTCAGCATCAAAGACAGTAGTAGTATTTCGAATTCCCTCACTGACATTCGAAGCGAGATCAAAAATACCAATAGCTGGTTTTGTGACAAAGCCAAGTGCGCCTTTGCCAACACCTTTGAAGAATCCGGCAAATCCCTCTTGTTCGGCACCTTCCAAGGGTTTACGAGCTAGACCACCAACTCCACTTGCGAGGCTACTCACAAAAGAGTTTGCACCAGCAGTGACACCAAATAGTGCATGTTTGGGACGGTTACGGGACCGACTCATGCGGCGGCGATCTTGAAATTGTTTATCCATTGTTGCTTCCGCCAGCCCTTTAGCTATACTACCCGTGAACTTAGATACGCTATCCGAGACCCCAAACACTGATTTTTTTAAAAAACTCGTGGCTCCCTTGGCAATGCCTATGCCTAGATCTTCTGGTCGGTCTGCCATGATAAATCCGTAGTAGGGCTCATAAAAAATATCGGCCACACCTGAACTTAAATTATTGAAGAGGCCAACGGGATTTCCGAGAAAGTCAGCAGAGCCGAGAATTTTATGGACTTGATATAGTACTTCCTGCGAATAATGATTCGACATCCTTTGTACGAGAACACTCGCGGAGACACGGCCGTTTTCAATTATTAATGCATTTAATCGAACAGGGGCGTCGTTAATGTTCCCAATTGCCATAGTAAGTACATTCAAGAAGAACATTAGCGGATTTCTGGAAGAAGTTTTGTCTTCAACGTTAACGCGATCTGTTCTAACAAATGACAAGTCTAGCTGCATGGGCTGAATGTTAAGCAGTTCAAAGTAAATCTGATTACCAGATTGGTCTTGGGTAGGCTCAGGAATATCTAAACTCTCATCACAAAGCACGACATTGGATGGCTCTGACCATTCTGCACCTGGCGCTTTTGAAAACTCTAAAAGTGCATAAACAAAGTCCTCATCTATTTCCAATGTCATTTGCTGTAATAAGACCGTGGCGTATTTGATGTATAAAACACCATAGGAATCATCTTTAACCCTAGTCACCATGATGTGTACTGAAGGAAGAGGTTCTGTTTCTCTATTATTTTTAGGAACAACGCTAGGATAAAAGATCATCGGAAAAATTCCCCCATATAGCTGGTTATCAACTTGTATCCATTTTATAGAGCCAGTTATAGTCTGGTAAAGTAGGGACTCGGAATATTTTAGTGAGATATCTCGCATAGTAATGTACGCCAATTCTTTGAGCTGAGCATTTATTAATGATATACCGACTCCAGCCAATTTAAGCTGCGCATGGAAGCTAACAAATGTGTTCTGGCCTTTGACTTCGAATCCTCCAGCAGCACTAGTTGTGGACTCAGATCGGGGATTTTGCTTATATAGACTCTTGGATGCTTTAAAGTTCGACAAAATCAAAGTTTGGGTCGGTCCATCAGCCGCAACATTCAGATCAATTATTTTTTGCTTTTTCTTTTCGTGCGGGTTCCGAGAAGTGGTTATTTTCATGGGAATAAGATTTCCAATTTCCGTTAGCCTAATATGTCGCTCTTTTCCATCGGCATTAAAAATTAACTTTTTATCTTTTGCGGCTGGATAATCCCACGCATATGGCATGATACTTCGAGGTGGTAACCGATACCGAATCGGATGCCAGCTAGATCTATCGTCCGAATCTTCTTCATTGATATTCGGATTTGCTTGATAAAATAAAAATTCTGTATCACTTTCATTCCGTATTGAAAAGGGCCAATGCTTTAATTCAAGAGAAATATGCAGAAATATTGTTGCATTTTCCATTAAAATCTCAACTCTGATAAGCCTTTGTCGCTCGCCTGTTTTTGCAAGCTTTACGTGGGTGGTTCCTAAATCAGATATATTGAATGGCGAAGACCATTGGTTGTTCAAACCAGGATAGCATAAAGATAATTGTTTGGTGGTACCTTTCTGCAGAAAATGTAATGGTAGTAATGCTTCAGGTCCTAATGACATCAGCTGCGCTGATCCGGGTTCTCGAAAGTTAATCTCTTCCATCATTCGATTCTTCAGCACAAAACGAGGCGCAAGCGTAACTATTTTGGTCAACTTATACTTTCCTTCTCCCGCTTCAATTGTTATTCCGACATGAATTTCTGTTTCTTTTGTTGTTGATGAAAGAACAACGTCTATGACACTACCGATAGCATCAAAAGATTGTGGCTTACTCCAGTTTGATTCTCCAATCTTAAGCATTGCTCTGTTTCTCTGTTCATCTCCACTAAAAGTAAACATGAATGGTAGTGCTTTTTGTCGATCTGTGTCATTAGAATCTGTCAGAAACTTTTGGCCTGCAGCTGTCTTTGCTTTCGAAAGAAGTGACTTCGACTTAATCTGAATACCTAATCCAGTTTTATTCAGAATAACATATGGACTATAGACAGTAATTCTGAGAGCACCACCGCTATCTGGGATCTTAAAGTAATGTAGACAAAGGTTTAGCGGAAGATCTTCTTCATCTCTACAGATAATTTTCGACTCTCTCCGAAAATCTTCTTGGCTATTCGAAGTGATAATAGAGAATTCACTAGCTTTAAATGGGGTATCCTGCATATCTATGCTCATTAAAAGTAGGTGAGATAACTTGACAAAGTGGACGGGAATTAAGCCTCCCTTACGTAGAAAATTTACCCAATCTTTTCTGGCATTCTTATCATAGATTCGATACTTGAAATCATAAGGGAGATGATTCTCCAATTCTACTGGTGCAGAAAGACGAATTTTCATATATGGATAGACACTAATTAGGATTAGTTAATTTTGAAGTTAAGCTGAAATTTTGAAAAAGTTACCTAGTGAGAGGATTGCTTCGATCTATTGTTGCATGCATTTGGAAATAAAACGGGGGCGTATTTTTATCACGCTCGCCTTTGCAAGTTATTGTAGCTGTTGGCCTTTTGAGCAAGTCTTTCCACCACAAGCACTCAGATGACCACGCATACCCAAACCCCTGATCAGGCCTTATCAATAAGAGTTTAGAAAATGCAGCGCCAACTGGAGCCGGGCGGCTTTCTCCAGGGGGAATTTTCTCAATCTTGAGTAAATGGCGATTTTGTTCGTCAAATACACCCATCTCGACGGGAATAAGGGTCTTATTTTCAATAAGAAGAGGAGATCGGAAAGTGATATACTTAATGTTATCCATTCCCAATGTAATTTCTACTAATAGCCGATGAAGAATCTGATCTTTCCGTGGTCGTAGACTGTGAAGGTACTCTCCTTCTCGGTTAACTGGAATTTTATTTATTGCATCAAATCCGCTTCCATCAAGCCTTATTCCAATGGCTCTATTTTCAGCTTCTGATGAGAGATTCTCGCGCGCTTTTTCCCAGTCTTCAAACTGCCATGGACTGTCCTCGCCATCTTTCAGCTTTACACTCATCTTATTACTTTTCTCATCTCCATGCAAATCAGCCCATACAATAATGTCGAATCCAGTATAATTTTTAATCGTATACGGGGCATCGATTCTTCGCGCTTTCGATAATACATCATCTTTTCTTGTTAAAAATTGAACCGATTTCATGGCAAGAGATATCGTAGCAGAAGTTATCGTGAGCTCGAGATTCTTCGAAGATGTGAGATCGATCGACATAAAGTTCGGATTAATTTGCCTTGAAATATAAAATTTGAGCTGCCAAGGTTCTAATAATGGCTCCCACGCTGATTTTGAGAAGTTGTTGACATTAATGAACATGTCTAGATTTGCGTTGGCACGTAGGTTACTGGACCAGTCGTTTACAGTGACAGTGAAGCCTTTAACACTGAGATCCATAATAGGTAATTCGTGAAGATCACCAATAAGAACAAGCCTCATACCTTCAAGAGTTGCACTAAGCTCTTCATTATTCGGAGACATCCGAGTTGCAGAATTTTTATTGTTCAAATTAGTTTTATTCGCTGCTCCAGTTGGAGTTTTTCTCGAAGATATCGCTACTTTACCCGTGGGTCGAGTATTTAAAGACTCACCATCAATGCTGCTAATTTTTTTGGAATTCAAATCGGAATCAGGATTCTTTTTTTTTCCGTACCCCTCATCAGACAACTCTGATGCTTTTTTAATGATTTGAAGAGCTAGGAGAATATCTCTTAAAGATAACCGGAGAACTAGTGGTTCAATATCGATTTTTATCTTAGTTGAATTTGACTGTAAATTATCCAAAGATACTTGTAAAGAGAAATCATCAAGAATCCTTAAACGGGTACTCTCAAAACTATCCATACGACAGAGGAACATACCCATCTGGGATATTTGCAAAGTAAAAACATTTTGTTTAGACATCAGTATTTGCTTCGTTCCAAGGACTATTGCCTCAGAACTCAAGTTTAAAGGATTTGCAATCAAGATTACTTGAGCATCAACAACATTGACTCTAAAAGAAATATTGGAGCAAGTATCTTCCTTGGGCGTCTTTCTTGAGCTGGATGAGGTGCTTTTAACTTTGGAAATATCTATTATGTGTTCTAATTCATTGTTCTTATTTATTTGTGTATATTCGTCGTCAGATACATCAGCAGATTCAATCAAGCTAGCATCATCTTCCATTAGGGTAGAGTCATACTCAAAGCCCTCATTCACAAAGGTTAGGATAGCGAATATATAATCTAGTGCAAATATAACCCGAGGATTGTCAACTGCTATAATAATAATTACATTTCGATCTTGACCACCTGAGATTGTTACACTGGCCATAAACTGCTGAACATCGTTGTTGGATGACGTCATAATTTTTCGAAACTTATTTGAGGTCTTGGCCCTGCTGTCTTGTATTGTAAATGAGTGTATTAAAAGTTCAGATTGCAAGGATCCGTCAGTCATCATTTGCAGTCTTAAATTTGTTTTATCTAAAGAAAATTTAGAAAGGCTAGCTGCTTCACGGTCCTCTACAGGTTCATCAACATTCGCAGAAACTAGTTCCAGCCCAATGGTATGAACTCGGAAGTTCAGATCGAGTTTTGTCCATTTATTGATGCTGAAACTAAGCTCAGGTCCTAAGTCGACACCTAGATCATCGATTATTTCCGGGGGCTCATTAAGCTTTTTCTTACTAATAGAATTTTGGTCAATGTAATTTATAGTATCTTTCTCAATTATTTCACCGTCAACTATAAACGCAGATGGAATAGAATTTGCGAGCTCCAATAAAAATTTAAGTTGAGTCTGAGTTATGCAAATATTGAGATCTGTCATACTACCATCAATCTGAAGTTCAGGCCTGCTAGTAGCATCTGTATGTTCTATGTATATTAATTTGAATCCTAGATCTACTTTGTCTATGATTTCCAGTTCCTCAGCTTGACCCCCAGAATAGTAAAAGTCTGAGGTGAGTCGGATGTTTCTTATACCTGCAGACATTTCCATAGAAATTATGGAATCTTTATTATCATCAACAGGTACGAATTCATTCTTAGCGTAGATTTCACCCAAGTAAGCTGTAACAACATCTCTTTTAGAGCTATCGGCAACGAAAATTCGAGGGAACACAACAATTGGTGTTTTGATATTGATATCAAATTTCATTCGACTTGCATTCTGCTGGATTTGAGAAGCTTGGTTAGCAGCTGCTTGCCTTGCAGCATTGAAAATAGCTTGCATCTTTCCAAACTTTACTAAAAACTTGATTATTTCATGGAATGGCTCTCTGAGAAAATTTACTTTAATCGAGCCTGTGCGTAGATAAACTGACGAGTCATAGCCTGGATACTCATCGACGATACTAGGATCGAACGTTTCATATCTAAAGTCTGCTAAATTGTCGCCTTGTATTGTTATTAGCTTGCGCTGATCAAAGTCTTTATAAGCTCCTTGATTAATATCATCTAGTAAAGTAAAATCAGCAAGCTTAGTTCTAATTTGTAAGGTGTTATCCATAATAAAAATCCCGACATCTGCACTATCGAGAGATAAAGTAGCCAGCCGTGCACCGTCGTTATTGAGAATAAGTCTTATACTCTTCAAATCTATTTTTATTCGGATGGAACCAGCGCTAGTCATAGAGTTTGGCGTGTTTACTAATGTAGATCCTCCCTCGATTTCTTTGACTTGCCCACTCGGGGGGATAGATGACGTAGAATCGTCCGCAAAAGTCACCAGGATAAAATCGAGGAGTGTTAAGAGAGTTGCTCTTGTGACAACGAAATTAATGGTAGATATAGCAACCTTAATGTTGGTATTCACACCCTCCCATTTGGTGAGGAAATCCGGTGATTCCTTTTTTACTATAACGATACTCAAACTAACTAAATCCCTATCATTAGGCTCTGTATTTTCAGAAGAGATAATTGATTTGAATTCTGGAGGAGGATTTTCTACGTAATCATCTATCATTAAAGACTGAAGTGAAGTGTTAATTCTTATATCGTAAGGTCGAACAACCAAGTTTATTGCAAAGTTACTGGCCAATAATTCAACTAGAATTTGATCCTGCTTATTTCCTTCGGAGTCGCTTCTAAAAAGAGAACCACGAAGCTTGTCCACTTCAAATTTAAGCTCAAAACTATGCTGCTGGATCTGCAGGTCTTCAGATAGCTCGTTACTTGATGCCTCTTTAGAACTAGAATTTTTATCAGGCCTAGCCTGAATTATGATAGACTCCTGTTCAGGAACCTGGAACACTGCATGCCGGGAATTATCTTGTTGTCTAGTAAGCTTCATGAAGCCATCTTGATTTTGAGATCTTTGAATCAACTTCTCATTGTTGGATAAGTTAGATGAGCTTTGATTTTCATCAAAATTTGGGATTGAAACATCAATAATCTTCATGAGGCTCTTGTACTTTGTGTCTGATGCAGTCACGTGTAAGAGAGGAAGATGCCCAGAAAGCCGGACTTTCGCAAGGTTGGGTGCTTTTGGAATGATAGATGTTTCAACGAGAAAGTCGATGTTTATTTTTTCTACTATATGCATAGACTTGGTTGGATCTCTTTTGTCAAGTTGAGCTTTTGTCTCTTCAATTGATGGGCCAATCAGAAGCTGGGTCGAAGATAGTTTTACCAAGAATTTGTCATACATTAAGGACTCGAGCTGTTGATAATCCTCATCAGTGTATGAATGCTGTTGTTTTTCCTGTACCTGCTTAAGTGTATCTTTGTCAACAAGTTGGCTGTTTACACTAATATGTCCAGCATCTAGAATCAAGCAGACTGTATTTTCTTCAGTGATGCTTTCGGGAATAATAACAAGAGGTGCCTGTAGGTCTAGTATGGTATTCAGAGTTTTGTGTTCTTCTAGCGCAAATTCTAGGCCTGCCCTGGTTTGCCTCCGCAGACTTTCCACAGTTGCACCGGCCGTTTCCATTAAAGCTCCAATTGACTCCATATGTCTTTCAGGAGGTCTAAAAAATTCTGTAATACCAACAAGAAATTGGGGATTCCAGATTATTTCAAGAGGCTTTAACTTTCCGGTAAGAGCCATATCACTTTCCCCATCCAATGGATTTTTTTCGAACCGTATTTTGAAAAAAGGTTCGTAAATATTGTGTGAATCTTTGTCCACATCGTTTTGGGATATTTGAGAGCCATGATCAAGAGCATCTTTGACACGGACTATCTGAGTGAAAAGACTACCGGGGGTAGTTCCATCGTTGACCCTCAAACCTTCTAGACTTAGATCTGCTAAGAATGATTCTGGTCTCTGAAGAAAGCTAGCTCGAAAACCATCAAAATATAAGCTTAAAACTTCAATGGTATTACCATGTGGATTACGCTTCAATGTAAAGCTTCCCGTGTTTAATGATGCACTGATTTGCATTTTGACAGTTTCCTTCGGTAGTTCAACACTTTCAGCTAGAGCAGTCTTCTCGTCCCAGTCTATTGCTTCATATAACTCCTTTCTTTGTTCCTGAGTCAGCGAAGCTTGAGGATCTTCTTCTTCTGGCTTTGTGCCCCATACCCACGCAACCCAACCTTGACTTTTGACATGGTTAGGTTTCTTTACTCCTACGTTTTCTTTCTTCAACTGATTCTTTGCTAGGGATCTCCAAAACCGCAGGTCTTCATAATCAAGCTTCCACTCTAATTTTTCTAATTCTGATACTTCTTCAGGTTTCAGAAAGCTTTCTTGTTTTTTTTTCTGCTTAAAGAGCTCAATATAACGGATACGATCGTCACGTCTCTCTCTGAGGAATTCCCAAGACCAGCGCCGGTTTCTATCATGAATCTTTGTTAAAACCGCGTGGAAAGCAAATTTAAGCCAAGCTCGCGGGTTTTCTTTTGGTGAACAATTCTTTGGTTTCAATCTCTTATATTGCTGGTGACATATAAAATAATGAAATAGGTCTACCATCATCAGTGCGTCACGATATTGGTTGTCATCTAGAACGAGTCCGATTTCATCGAATATAAGGCTTGCATTCATGTGAGGTCTATCATTCTTGCCTGTCTTATCTATTTCAATTTTAGCTTTTCCATTAACTGGTCTGAGAATAAATTGATGGCCCGTCATGTTGGAAGCCCCTTCTTTAACTATCATGCTTTGGAATTTGTCGAGAATATTCCCGTGAAAGCTAGTGGTAGATTCAGAAGCTTCAGCTAGTGCTGCAGCCCCTAGAAGATTGCTATCTGTATTCCAGTAAATAGCTAATGCACCTAGAGTGGCAAGCTTATGAGTAGGTCCCATAGAATCTTGAATATAAGTAGGTTTCCAATCTCCATCTGTACTTATCGCGCTGAATTCTTGGAGCGTTACGCCTATTGCAAAGGGGTGGCCCGGAGCAGAAATTGAATCCTCGTATCTAATATGAATATTCTTGACTGTAATTTGAAGATTGTCCACGATTTTGTTCACTAAACTTTCAGTAAAACTTTGGCTTTTTTGTTGTTCTTCTTGGCTAAGACCTTCTTGACTACGCTCTTTGAGTAATTCTGCGCTGTCAAGTTTTTCCATCTTTATAGCTTGATTCCTTTTTTCTTCCTCTTCTTCATCCCACTCAGCATCTTCTTTGGGTGCGGCTAGCACATACACATCTTCAATATATACTTGGACAGGCTGACCTCTTAAATTTGACCATGGTATTCGTAAGGTTAGCTGTCCTAGATGACCTTCTGTAACATTTAAAGGTAATTTTAGTTGATCGAGCGCTTCACGCCTTAGCTCTAGATTTCGAAGCTTTACATCTCCAGACCATATTCCTACGTTAAGTTGTTTAGGGTCGAAATTTCGTATGTACATGCCGAGAAAGCGATTAAGAAGTGACGCAACGAGTCCCTCTAACATTTTGAGATATATGTAGTTTGAGCCGAGTAGAGAAAAAGACTATAATGCTTGGTGAGATGTTATTATTTGTAATCGGAGAAGCTGGCTCGACCAATTCACGTCCATAATAATGGAAAATTTTAGATAGAAAAATCTGCTGAGATTTAGGTCAGACCGACAGATTTATAGAAGAGATTAAGATGGGGAATATGACCTTTAGTAAACTTCTATTGCAGCTGTTACTAGTTAGACGATGGGTTCATACTTAGCAAGACAAGTTTGTCTGGTGAGATACATATGGATGCACTATGCCCATTGTGGTCTCTGTCGGGCTCATTCGCTCCATTTGAGATTTACTCGGCGGTTCGTATGACGTCATATCACATGGCTTTCAAGCAGAAATTAGATGAGTTATAATTGATTGCATACGCATCAAGCAGGCAAATTCTATTATCTATAATCCCATCATATGTGAACAACCCTTGGGGAATTGAGTTGGGCCATTTTAAATTCGGATAACTGTCGCTCACATACCATCTGTAATTAGTGGCAAGACCTGTTAAAGCTATGATGATGCGTCGACAAATAACGTCCAAATCCCCATGTCTATTTCAAGCCTCCGGTGAAGGCTTTCATGATAGATTTTACAAGAAAACTAGCTCCCTCTCTACTACGCCCTTCCGACAAGAGCGTTTGCGAAATTCATTATCACGTGTCGGTTTTACGAAAGCTTGCTCATTTGGTGGAGGAATGGCTCGAGCTTTTGTTGAACTTAAGAGCCCAAAGGTTGGTTTATTCGCAAGATACTGGTTACGAATCTAATGATCTCTGGTGAGGGCTTACAAAATATATAGAAAGCTGAGCATCGAGTGATTCAAAAGCTGGACGAATCGAAGTCGACAGACTCATCTAGTTCCGAGGCCCACGATAAGAAGCATGAAATTAAGACAAGAGCTATCAAATCCGAATTTTTAGCCATCTTGCAAGATTTTTCGTTAAAAGATATCCCAAAGGAGTCTTTAAATGTTGGGGCTGCAGGAGTAGTCCCCTTCGCCGCTACATGCGGATCCACCAGCTATCTCGCGTGGGAAATACATCATGTTGGTACTACTAACAGTGGGTTCTTATTTTCTACAGAAACAGCACAGTATCTATTGGAAACTATGTCTACTATTCAAATTGGATACGGCGCACTCGTAAGCCCAAAATCTTTGTCTTCTTGATCAAGAATCTTATTCACAGTAGATAATATCGTGTCTTGGAGCAATTCACATGGGCTTCGAGTACGCTGAATATGGAGGCAAGCAGGGCTATAGACGATTGATTTACGGAGTAATTGCCCCACTTATGGCATTGCCTACTCTTTTAATGCCCGTTGAAGCCGCGCTCATCTCACAATTTCTTGCCCTTAATTTCATGTACTTTGCGGATTTTCGTGCTACAGTGAGAGGCTGGTTTCCACCATGGTACTCAATCTACAGATTTTTCCTAACATTCTGCGCTGGTGGCTCTATAGTATTAAGTCTAATTGGCAGAGGACATTTTGCCGGTTAAAATACAAAGATCCAAAAGTTAGATAAAATTAAACCACAACAGGTGATATGAAAAGAAGGTTATGTTAGAGGTTCAGATGATTGGGGCTATCAATAAGACCACGTTGTTGATTAACACGTGAGTACAAACTATGTAATAAGTTTCACTTCGATAGTAACCTGGATAAGTGCGCTCTACAACCTCGTTGACTGAAGTGTCATTATTTTCTTGATAGGTTGACCTAGAATTCTTGTTACACATAAAACTAAGGAACAGTTAGTGGAGGAAAGGGATACTAAAATTCCTGGGAAGAGGAATCAAAACAATAGGGTCGGAGTCATAAATATTATCGCGCATCAAGTTATCGTCGAAGACGTGTCATTGACATTCGCATAATATTTGAATGATTACACGGCATAAAAATAACTGGCTTGGTAATGTCTGTAACTCGGGCTAGGGATACATTGGATTTGAATTTGAAATCTTTAACGTGACAGAACGGGCCTAACATCTATTTAGCCGTGACACGGGTAGATAAGCTCTGAAAACTGAATGCTATCTGTATGACTGGTATTAAAATGGATACATTGGAGATTGGGCTTAGCGCAATGTAAGGGTGCAAAAAGGGAGGGCAAGACTGTACACCTGTACGTGGTTTCATCTATGAACCTGGGGTGAAATATACTCCCAGAACCGAGTTCAGTCAAATTTCGCAATATCAAAGAAGTTGGCCCACGAGGCAATGATTCAAAATACTCCACTTCATCAATTTTTCATTCCCAACGAGTTCGACTCCTACCTAAGTCTCATCAAGTCTACAAGTACGACCTATTACATCCTCATTTCAATGATCACACCTCTTGTCGACTTTCTCTGGCCTCAGCTGGTCACCAAATACACGCCCGCGCCGATATTTACACCCTACAGAGGAAGCAAAGTGTGGCGCACAAATCTGGGGGACAGTTCTTTGGGATGGACGTAGATGGGATCAGAACAAATTGATAAGATGATGCAGAGGATTAATACATTCTCGACGGGCGTGAAATCTCGAATTTTGGCAAGGAGTTTTTCGAATTGGGCTTTGTATGCGCCAAGACTTCGCCTGCGAGAGTGCAGCTGACACTATAAAAACAAGCAAACGATGGAAGGTGTTGTGGTCCGCCTCCTGGCGGTGCTCTTCGGTATAGTTTGAGTAGCCTGGGCACCTACTCCACTTGGGAAGGAGACATCTCCGACCTTTTTTCGCGCGGAGAAAAGTTGAAAGATGATGGAGGCATGTCTGGATAACTCAGGGTTTCTGAGACGTTTCCCCGGGTAGGTATTCACGGATGAGGGTTGAGTTGGGGTGAAGAAAAAGCCACCATAACTTCGCAGTGGTACCTGCAAATGAAATCCGAGGCATGAGTGCTCCTCTTGTAAATTGAGTCATCTTTTCTGAACTTTTCTTTGATATTGTGTCATAGCTATATAGCTGCATACGCAATTAAAATCTGATGCAAAAAAAAAGAATCGAAGTCGATAGCAATCTCACGCACACCTCCATTTCAAGACTTCTAAACTATACTTCTCTTCCCATTCTCATCTGAGTCCTCAACCTCTCTCTAACCACGCATAATCTCGCCTCAACGACCAATAGAGAAGTTGCTCTAATTGCAAACAGGAGCCTGCCCTATTAATTACCATCCATCTCTCAGTATCTATTTACGGCGCTTTATATACCCGCAAGGGGGAGAGACAGAGAGGTGTGTTTATTGTACTACTGATGTCATAGACTATATAGCACATTTGGCTCCTCTCTGAACCAAATCACACCTTGTACAGTACTCTTTGTCTCTTTTGTTATTTGAAAGACCATTTATATATTCCCCTTGATGAATAGCCATTCAGCTCAGTGTTTACCCGTGGAATTCAGCCACCTTTTCTACGGAACCTTCTACCCAAAAAAATAAAAATGGTAGCAATGGAAACTACGTGCACGGGAAGAAGTCTCAAAAAAACTGCAGCCTCGGTCAGGCGAAGCCTAGACACAATTGTCATAGCTAAATAGCTGAATGCAATATGAAAAAAAGAGGCCTAGACATCAGGACCACATGAGGTCCGCATATTCATCTATATCTCCTTTCTTTGTAATATTAGTGTTCAACTTGGTCCAATCCATCACCACCGTATTTGGTGCTGGATACTATTGGAAATCGGTATGGGTTCGATGAGTAAGGGGGCTCAAAGAATATGGGTGCGATTTATGAATAGAATAATTATGATATGAAACGGGAGAATAAGTGATATACTGTGGAGAAATAAAAGATGGATTGAATGAATTGAATTGATTATATTAACTGTCTGTCTTGGTGATTCCTAGACAGCTTATATACATGTATTCTTAGTAGACCAACTCTAGATTAGATTCCATCCACCACTAGTCCTATACTCTTACAATGACAATGAATCGCACGACAGTATACATCATGAGTATAGGGTCAGGATCTGTTGATGAAAGCCTACCTAACTGGCATCAAACCATACCATGCACTAGTCGAGTCTCACGCATCAAACATGCTTTATGAAGGGGATGTCATCATCTTGGTCGTGAGTCATGTATGAAAATCCTTATTGTTCCAATCATAGGGATATTCAGACATGTAGAGTCTGAATTTCCAACACGACCCTTCCATCTAATCTGATCGTGTTTAGCTTTATGATAGTGTTAATTGGTGATTGTGTTGAGAGATAAAGACGACATGGATCGCAAGACTATTTGAGATTCCTATTATTCATCCATTTCTCTAGTTTAACGTCCTATGCGGTATCTATTTACAGATCCACGAAGTGTTGGAAAATATACTCTGTACGATATTATATGGATAAATATGAAGTAAAGAAGACTTCATATTTTACAAATACGGGAACATTAGACTTATATATAAATCTAAGGGGAGAAATCCCCACTATTCTCGTGTGCCTGTCAAACCTAGTGATAACCAGCCACCTCTCATCTACCATGATGAGCCAAGGTACACTGTAGCACGTAAATATCCAAACGTATAGGCGACAGTAGGCACGATTAGCGCACTCGGGACATGTGTAGAGAGAGTCGATCTTGTCGAGAACCTGAGACGAAATAGGTAGTGGTTGAGTCCTAAATTCGAGAGTCAGAATTTCCAACACGAAGATGGTAAGCCGCTTTGGTGTGGGAAAAAGCTTTCAACAAAACAAAACCCGATTTCATGCCACTCTCAACCAACCCGGCTTAATGCTTAGGTCGTTCCTTTCAACCACAATTATTTAAACTTTCCCCAGATTTGTTAACACCCTCTTCAATAAGACTAACGTTAAGAGAAATTAAAAAGAGAAGGCACCTCCTCACTCGGCGTTGGTCTTCGAAGTCTTCGAAGAGTTGGCCCTGATGGTGGTGCCGCTGGGGCTTCGACTACCTTACGCGGTCGTCCTGGCCCTCTTTTGAGTCCTTCAGCCTTTTTACTGGTGACCAAAGTGAATCCTTGGTCGTCAGTCGTTCCGACTGTTCGTGTTGGCGCCATGGTAGGCTTTTCATTCCATATTTCTGCCGTCCTCGATAACAGCTCCATCCGAGCCTTCTCCACACCACCCTTGTAAACCTGGTAGATCCGACACGCTGCTTTCTGCCATGAAAGATGTTCTTTGCTACAGTTCGCACGAGAAACCCTTTTCCTCGGACAGTCCGGAGTTTGGTGAGCGCCAGCGCACTCACCGCACCTGGCTGCCTTTCCACACGACGCCTGGGTGTGTCCCCACTGGCTGCAGTTATGACCCTGCTTTGGCAGGGCTCTTTTTTTTGCATCAGATTTTAATTGCGTATGCAGCTATCTAGCTATGACACAATATCAAAGAAAAGCACAGAATAGATGATTCAACGTAAAGGAAGAGCACTCATGCCTCAGATTTCATTTGCAAGTACCACTGCGAAGTTATGGTGGCTTTTTCTTCACCCCAAGTCAACCCTCATCCGTGAATACCTACCCGGGGAAACGTCTCAGAAACCCTGAGTTATCCAGACATGCCTCCATCATCTTTCAACTTTTCTCCGCGCGAAAAAAGGTCGGAGATGTCTCCTTCCCAAGTGGAGTAGGTGCCCAGGCTACTCAAACCATACCGGAGAGCACCACCAGGAGGCGGACCACAACACCTTCCATCGTTTGCTTGTTTTTATAGTGTCAGCTGCACTCTCGCAAGCGAAGTCTTGGCGCGCACAAAGCCCAATTCGAAAAACTCCTTGCCAAAATTCGGAATCTCATGCCCTTCGAGGTTATATCCGTCCTTCGCATCATCTTGTCAACTTATCCTAGTCCCTCTCACATCCATCCTAAAAAACTGTCCCCCAGATTTGTGCGCCACGCTTTCCTTCCTCCGTCGGGTATAAATATCGGCGTGGGCGTGTATTTGGTGACCAGCTGAGGCCAGAGAAGGTCGAAGAGTGGTGTGGTCATTGGAATGAGGATGCACTTGGTCGTACTTGTAGACTCGATGAGACGAAGATAGGAGTCAAAGTCGTTGGGAGCGAAATAACGACGTGGATGAGTAATTTGGATTTTTGCCTCGTGGGCCAATTTCTTTGATATTGCGAAATTTGACTGAACTTGGCTCTGGGAGAATATTTCACTCCCAGGTTCGTAGAGGACACCGCGTACAGGTGTTCAGTCTTGCCCTCCTTTGGCTGGGCTCGTGATGATCATACCTGAGGGATGAAAAGCATGGCATTGATGACAAGGCCCTGTCGAACTACCTCCGTTTGCATTGCCTCTGATGGGAGGCTGACCACAATTGATCCGCGATTGCGACCGTTTTTCTTCGATCGCTGATGTTCCTTTCAATCATGGAGCCATCGTATTCTGTTAATTACCAGGCCTGGAATAAGTGCCTTCGTCGCCGACAGAATCTCCCTGATGATGGCATCTCTGCCATCTTCAATTCTTGTCTGCAGTGGGACTCCGGAAACCTCAACAGGAATATCTTGCCGTAGAATTTTAAATTCGCTGGGTTGTCGCATATTAAGCGCCGCGTCTCTCTGGGAAGCTGACTGGATGAACACCTCGGTGTAGTTGCTTCGCATCTGTCGAGGTGCAATTGAGCCTTGAATGTGTTGTTGTGCCTTCGATAGCAGCTCTTGTGGCTGCAATTTTGAGCGCCGTCGATTCTTATTTGTACCGCCGTCCTCGTCATTTGCGGAGCCACGATCGACGCGTAACTCCTTGGTGGCGGCGCGCCCGAAACCACTGCTGGAGCAGCTTTTCGAGCGGGATCCGCGTGGCTTTACTTGACGACTTCCTCCAGCGCCATCATCCACTCCTCGATAGGAGACTTCTTCTGGGACATTCTCGTCCAGGCCCTTTTGAGGATTCCTATTACTATTATGATCCATTTATTTTCTATTTGAGTTTACAACTATACAATATAAACACTCTTAAAACGTTCTTTATTTTCTGTTCTAACTGGTGGTTTCCTTCATTAAATGGTGTGATTCCCAAAAATGGTTCACCAGGGAGCTGAGAATCGGAATTTAAGTGAGAACGAAGTTATTTGTCAATCTGAGCTCTGCATACTCTACAGTGAGAGCTGGAGGTTTGTGGGAGAAACCACGGCCAAATTTTGAGATTAGTCCCCCAAGAGAATCAAGTAAATTTGTCAAGAGTTAAATCAAGTAGAGTATTTGCATGTATTTACACCCATTGATTACAAAGTATGATAATAGTCATCTTTCTACTTTAATAAGGGAAGTTAGAGTACAATTATCAACATGCTTGTCTTCGTATAAGCTGTGCCTAAAAAATAATACTAAATCATACAGTAATACTTTTGGTGATATACAAAGGCAAAATATATAAGTACAGTTGAACAGTGCTCATTGAATTACAATGCTCCCTTTCCCTGCAACAACAGACTGCCATGAGCTACTAAATAACCCGAACGCAAAAGTCAGCCAAGACTTTTCATTTTGGAACCAATGATGGCGATAGGGCGATAAACCGAGAGACGTTGCGTTGACCAATAATAACGTAGTATGACACAGGGGTTGAAATCTCGCCGCGTTCCGAACAATCATTTTTATCGTCTGGCTCAGGAACGCAAGTTGGTTCAGGTAGTGTGGCATAGATGAGATTTGCGGCGTAGTTGAAAAGTGGTGAAAGCAAAGTAAGTGTGAAAGATCAAGTCCGATATCAGGAGAGGCTGAGTCGTTCTATCTTGCCCCAGGTGTTGTCTCGGCGGGTAAAAGTCTATTGAGGCTTCGGAGGAGGAGGCTTTGGAATGTTTGTGATATCGTAGGCGCCACGGCCCATATCGCAGAGATCGGTGACTTCGTTAACCATATTTGAATCTTTTCGACTGCTAATGAATGATATGATGTTAGATCATAAGCCACAAATGGTCCAACCTTGCCATTAATAGGCTGCGCTGGCATACGAGATGGAGAACAACATTGAGTCTACGCTTGGGATCTGACTTACAAGTTTCTGGAGCTAAAATGAATGTTACAAAGAAACTTTGATTACACAGCTGATGATGGTAGTTTGGTTTTAGAACGAGGGAAATGCGGGCTATCTAAATATCTACAGATGTTTCCTGCTGGTGTTAGTGTAGGCACACTCAGGAGATCGCATTTTTTTCCCCTTGGATTCGAAAGAGGCCTTTCGAAAGTTTTGAATTTTTTCTGAGCCCAGTAAGGGATGCTAGTGCTAAATAGGACCCACGAAATCGTGGAGCCTGGAGTGAGCAGGGGGAGGTCGGAAGGACGGTAAAAGCAAAAATTTCAAGGACCAGCATCTTGTCGAGGGTGCATAAGCGGAGGAGGGGCTCAGTCGAAGATCAGATGGATTATCAGTTGGAGAGGGATTCATCGGAATTTCTTTGTATCGGATACTACAAAATTCCGTCGTGGCTTCTGCGAATTGATGATCTCTCTACCTTCACACCAAAATCAGCTTGCCATGAAAAAGAATTGACCTCAAGGAGGCTGGGCCGTGTAGAATGGGAATACATCATTGGGAAAAGATGAGAACATATGGACCCTTGACGGGTCAGCTCACAAGTTTGCATAATCCCCGATCAGAGTGCAGTTGGCGGGAACGGGGTGTCGCAATTGCCAAAGTCAGGGTGAAATTGGTGCTGTAGAATGGACGAAGGGTAAGTCGTCTGTCAACTTGGTACAATACTGCGAGAGTAGAATCACCAACTTTACCTTGGGCCGACCCGTGTTCAAACCGGCAGTTACGAGCTTTCGGGGCAACGGACTGGCAGGTTCATGATCCAACTAGTCTGCTAATGCTGCCACCCGTTGTTCCTGCCTCGTGTTTCAAGCGAGCTTAGCTAGTGCGGCACTAGGGGGTAGCAGATCTTATTGACATTCTCGTATCTTCCGATCAATACCTTAAATCTGTCATGATGGCGTGCTCGAACATTCACAGGCGATCTCCTAGTAATTTATAAATTCATTCCGACCAAGGTCAACACGATACAGAAAATTACCCCGGTTACTCTCAAGTTTTGACCGCTTTTTGCTTAAATTTTTCCGCGACTTACTACCGTCCACGGCATCCAAATGTACTCGTACTTCATCAGTTAATACATCGCTTACGTATGGACGCTCCTAGTTGCGGTCTAGTGGCTGGTGAGCTTCTACGGTATGGATTTCCTTCTAACCCAGACCGTTGTTACACCGTCAGAAAGCAGGGGTATCACTTACTGCCGTCAATCCATGTTGACATAAAGGAGTCAGCTTTTGAGACAGGAAGATGTAGGATACTGATCTAGCGAGGAGTAAGGCTTTGGCTTTGAATGAGTGGCCAGTGAAGAACACCTAATCTTCGCCGACGACACGTAGGTATTAAATACTTGCAACAGCTTCATATTGTGTCATTCATTCAGCACCACGACTGGGTGGCGTCAAAAGCGATCGATAAGTGCAATTTTCGATGAAATAGAGCAGTCCCAACCGAATAGAATAACCATATTTCAAGTGCCGATGGAGTCTCTAGGATATCCTAGTCAAATTTTTGAAGCTCCGGCTCGCATGAGAAAGGCTTATACCTTGCAGCATCTGCTGGTCAGGATCATGTGCCCTCATTCACACATAAGTTCACTAACTTTCGCACTACTTGCTGTAAGAGAACCGCTAATGTGATAGCTTTAGAGAGGCCTCTCAAACTTGAAAATATTAAGCTCGTTTACATGTCAATAAGTGACTCCTGATGTTAAGGTGTCAAACGAAAAAATTCACGTATCGAATGTTGTCTCGTTATCATCAATATTGTCGCCCAGAAAAGATTCGGACTTGGAATAGGAAAAACATCTCCTTGGTTTTGCATTTTGCCATAGCCATGATTACTGTCAGGTCATTTAACGTGTTGCGCGAAAAAGTTGAATGCTGAATTTTCGGTGGGTAGAACTACAGGGGCTTTAATATAGTTTCAATTACAGACTTGCACATTGACACACGCGTCTCAACGCAATATTTATTAAACCCGACCATAGATAATTAAAGTTTCTGATCTGAACTTAGAGCTGCTTGAAACATACGCGCTAACCTGGGCACGATTTCAAAGTAATTAGCTAGCATACCACGTGTATTACCAGGAGCATGAAATAACGGTCATGCACTCACGACTTACTACTATTTCGTGTGGTAAATCGCCTTTAATGCAAAATCAAGCTAGATTCTTGGGCTGCATTTTCATCAGGCGTGTCCACGGTCTGTGGTATTCATAAGCATGATGATGGTATTAAATTGAGCGGCGAATACAAAAGAAATAAAATCTGACAAGTTGTACCCCCTACCATTAAAACTGCGCCTCAATGACTCTCCCCGTATAGAGCCTGATATGATAAATGTTCTATCCGATCGATAGCTAGATCAATATTTTCATTAGCTCTATATACTGCAGGTGCAGAAGTGGGGCCGGAGGAATTACAGCTCTCTCTCACTCTGAAACAGGACGACTTTAAAGCACGGAGGCTTGACGATTGCGCAAGCTAGCCGCCACAAACAATTGTTTGGGAGGGCAAGACTGAACACCTGTAGGTGATTTCATCTATGAACCTGGGGTGAAATATTCTCCCAGAGCCGAGTTCAGTCAAATTTCGCAATATCAAAGAAGTTGGCCCACGAGGCAATGATTCAAAATACTCCACTTCATCAATTTTTCATTCCCAACGAGTTCGACTCCTACCTAAGTCTCATCAAGTCTACAAGTACGACCTATTACATCCTCATTTCAATGATCACACCTCTTGTCGACTTTCTCTGGCCTCAGCTGGTCACCAAATACACGCCCGCGCCGATATTTACACCCTACAGAGGAAGCAAAGTGTGGCGCACAAATCTGGGGGACAGTTCTTTGGGATGGACGTAGATGGGATCAGAACAAATTGATAAGATGATGCAGAGGATTAATACATTCTCGACGGGCGTGAAATCTCGAATTTTGGCAAGGAGTTTTTACAAATTGAGCTTTGTGCGTGCCAAGTCTTCGCTTGCGAGAGTGCAGCTGACACTATAAAAACTGCCATGGTTGGATGGTGCGGTGGCACACTGTCTTGGCCGGTCTGGATAGCTTGGACACATATCCCACTCGAGACAGGAGATTGCTCGTTCAAATCTGGCAAAACACAACCACTTTTCTCGCGGCGCTGGTATGTATGGATGACGAAGGCATGCTTGGATAACTAAAGGTTTGGAATTTCCATTTGGTGGGTACTTACGGAGGAGGGTCGACTGTTCGTGTAAGCGAACATACCTCATAGTGGTATTTGCGAATGAAATCCAGAGTATGAGTTTCTCTAACGTCAAAAGAGTCATCCTACAATTATACATAGCACCGGTAATGTGTCATAGCTCTATGGCTGAATACACTCAAATGATTTAAAAAACAATTATTTCAAATAATTACTCAGAAAAGAAATTGGTTATCAGATTAAGGTGTTATAAATTTCAACAAGTGGATTTCCGATCATAAGGAGTGGAAATCATGATCTCTTCGAAAAATATGTACAACAGAGACCAAAAAATCTTTCTATCCCTCAAGAAAAATCAGTATCATTTCCATGTGATTCATGGTAGGAGTCAGTTTAATATTTATAGATCATATTTAGACAAACGATCTGTCCTATTTTGTTCGAACTACTGCGAGTTTTTCTCGTAAATAGCCAGACTTGTCACTATCAATGCAGGGGCTAACAATATAAATTGAGTTGTGGCAAGGTGGGGAACAGGTAAAGCGAAACGAGGAGGTTTAGCTAGTGCAACGATGATTAGACCTCCAGCCATCAAAGCTGTCCAAAGGTATTGTAAGAAACTGCTAAGTCTTGAACCCTACAATTTCTGAGTAAAAAAACATTTGGATATGGTATGGAAATCACTGGCTTAGATGCGTGATGGCTGGGGCGATGTAAGTATAATCCTACGGTGCAAGGCAAGTGAGATTAATAGGCAGTCGGACCACGTATGGCTCAATGTATGTGGTAGTTGGTATGAGCCATTTCGGCCTCAATTCTGGTTAGTTGCAAAGCCGTGTGCTTAAAGCGCTATTTTCTTATAAATTATAACTACAAAACGGGAAAATGTTTTCGCCTTTCAAATAATAGTAAAGTGGGACCAGCAGTACCTAAGCTCCACTGCCAAGGTTATAGGGATAGAGTCGTCAGGTCAATAAATGTGGTAGCGAATTGGTAGGTTGTAGAATTTACAACTCAAACGAGTAATACTCACGGCAGATTTCATTGAAATTATTTCGATTCTCTCTAACTTGATTCGCATTATTGCAAGATCTAAGGCTGTCAATTAGGTACAAAAAGATGTACTGCCCGAGGCTAAACTCACCAATATGCAGAGTAGGCCTACACAATCTGATTTAGCTCAAGACTCAGGAGTAGGATAGACTATCATGATCGTAATATTCAAAATCTGTACCATTTTTTATTTCCCCTGTTACTTTACATAACTTTAAATTATTATTCTTTCTGAGTCTATGACTACACAGGGCATGTATGTTCTCTAAATGTATAAGCCAAAGCTAGCTATGCTTTTGGTGGCGTATCCTCTTTTCTACC